CCCCCCCCCCCCCTGTCGCGCGAATATCCCCTCTCGACGTTTTTCTAGGGGACGCGATTCGATCGAAGAAGCCCGGGACCCTCTTTTACTCCTTCGTACCTTTTCGTAGCTAGCGGCTGTTTCTAACTTGGTCCCTCTGTTTTCAGCCTACCAGAAGATGTACATGGGCGACCAGGTTCTCGGCTACACGTGTACAATGTGCAGCAAGTTCTACAAGATGTGGAGCAACTATTTGAAGCACAAGTGCGAACCGCCTCAGTTCAAGTGTCCCCTGTGTCCGTTCGCCGCGTTCAAGGCCTTCATTCTGCACGCCCATCAGGCCGAACAGCACTTCAAGGTCACATCGCCGAACACCTGAACCCTCCGCTTCGAGCGTTCTTCGATCCGCGTCCCAACCATCGCCGCGGCGCGTTATTCGATTGCCTTAATTCGCGTTGTACTTTCCTCGTGCCTGCTCCTGTATAGCGCAAACGATTTTCGGGATCGTCGACGAAACGAGCGGTGCACGGATCGTTCCCCTTCATTTCCTTTCTTCCTTTTCGCTTATCGTATTCTTTTCTATCGCAGCAGCCTCGCGACGTCCGTAATTCGTGATTCGCGCCCTCCTCCTCACCCTCCTCACCCTACTCACCCTCGTCCTTTTTACTTTTTCTTCTCTTTTTCTCTCTTTCTTTCCCTCTTTCTTTCCCTCTTTCTTTCCCCTTGCTCCAACGGATCTCTGACACGAACAGAGGAATACGGACGTTGCGCGGGAAAAGTTAGAGAAACCGCTGGAAAAACTTGACGTTCGATGCCGATTCGAAAATGTGTATAGCTTGCGTCGCGTTTCCAGTCGCACTCGAGATCTTTATCGAGGATCGAATCTTCTTTTGTTGTATACCGCCAGTCTCGACCGTGTTTCGCCACGACGCAAATATTCTCCGACGACGACGACGACGACAACCATCGTGTGACTACTCTTAAACCAAACCCGTTCGCCGGTTGTTCGTTGTGCAAACGCGTGACTGATCTTACCGCTTAGACTTAAGGAAAACTAAAATTAAATAAGGACAAAGCGTCGGCTCGAAATGCGTTGTGTTCCTCGACGACGCCGAGCGTGTCGCTCGCTCCCCAACGACGTTCGTCGACACGGTCTCGTGAAATTAATACCTAACCCCCAAAACGATGGAACGAGAGCTATCTTTCTCAGGCGTCCGACCAGAAGAGGTTTTTCTTTTCGCAACCACCTTCTCCGACTTTCTCCCCTCTTCTCTCGACGTCCTCTCTCCATTTTCCTGCTGGACGAGCACGGTGAGGGAATACGTAAACGGCGAACTAACAGAGAAGGTGGATCGACGCGGACCGTACCTCGTGGGATTCGTTTTATAACCAGTAATTCGTTTTACGTGTTTCAGCGGTGGTCTATCCTTGCGGTTCCTGCTGCGGCAAGGCGTTCAAGCGGAAGGAAAGTTTGCTGCGCCACGAACGAGAAGAGTGCGGCAAGAAGCCTTATCGTTGCCCTCACTGTCCTCGCGTGATGAATTTCAAGGACAGTCTGGTCCGTCATTTGCGAGTAAAACACGGGCAGGATTGTCGCGTAAGGACGCGCGTCGTGCACCGCTCGAGCTCTCTCCGAGTAAAGAGTCACTTGGACGCCGTGTTCGACGGCGAGATTATTCGATTGCCGAGAAAACGCGCGAGGAGCTTGCCTCCGCGACGTCGAGACGATCGAATTCTTTCTTTACCGCGATACCTCGAACGCTCCTCGATCGGACAACTTGCACAGAGTTCTCGTTGCTCGGACCCAGCTATCGGACGCGATACCGTTCCAAAGTATTTTCCTATGTTCGTTCCGAACGATCGTTGTCCGTTTTACTCGTTCCGCGAACAATCTATGCTCGTTAATAAATGGCACGTACGGCGTGTATGGGAAACGCATAGCAAACGTGTGTAACGTTACGATTAGGCGTTTCGCGCCTAATCCGAATATCGTTTGACGCGAAATGGAAGTAGGCGTGCAGCTACGACGATGCAGGTGCGAACTTTTCGATATCTCGAGAAAATTAAGGAAGGAAAGTCGAATCGAATCGAGCCGAGTACTAGTCGGGTCGAGTCGAATCGAAAGGAGAGAAGAAGTTGCAGGAAAAGGACGAGGGGGAGAGAGAGAGATAGAGAACGAAAGAGAGAAAGAGAGAGAGAGAGAGAGAGAGAGAGAGAGAGAGCGTATGCTTTGCTGATGCTTTTGTGGGGCGACAGCGCTTATTCGTGAAAAGCGACATTGAACGCGGAACGTTGTACTCAAAGGTATCTTTCTTCCTTCCTTTCAGGTTTTCACGCTTGCTGCGAGTGCAAGAAAACGTACAGGTCGAGAATGGCTCTAAATCGGCACGTTCGAGAGGAATGCGGCAGAGTTTTGTACACGTGTCCCTTTTGCCACAGCATCATGCCTATGAAGTTCAACCTGCTCAACCATTTGAAGAAGGAACACGGTTGCGTGGCGAAGATTTGAAGCGATCCAACTACCGAACGGATCGATAATCCTCTCTACCTTTCCATACCGTACCTCGTTCCATGCTCGATCGTATCGCGACGAGAAGACGCGATAGACGATGAGAACAGCCCGACAGCGACCAACGTTGGTCGACCAAGCCTTCCGGCCATCCACGCTTCCGACGCTAGGCTAGGCCAAAGTATAACGTGATCGACGTATACTTGTATTATCGCACGGACGCAAAGGTTTTAAGGTAAACGGGCCTAGACGACAGTTAATAAAGTCTCATCGATGCAACGATTCAATCGCACGCTTTTCCTCGTATCTTCTCCTCGTTTCTATTTTAATTTCGTCCATCGAAGTGAAACGAAATTACGAGTGCGCATGGAAGCTGAGCCGAATTATAATCGATCTGTACCGTGCTTTCTCGTCGAGCAGAGCACCAATCGTGTAGGTGTGTGTAGCGCGGTCGATAACGATCGAGGTAGTAAGAAGGTGGTGCACCGTCGTTCGTCGTCCAACTAATCCAAGCTTGTGATTTTTCTTTTTTTTTACAGGTTGTCTAATCGCGAATCAGTTGCACGCTTGCAAGAGTTGCGGGAACGTGTACGTGTATTACAGCTCGTTGACGAGGCACGTGAGGGAGGAGTGCGGCCAGGCACCGAAATACCAGTGTCCTTACTGTCCGAAGAGAACCAAGTTACGATGTAACTTGTTGAAACACATGCGGACAAAGCACAAGGTCGAGACGGGAACCACGCGATAAGATCGAACGTTCGGAGAAAGGAACGACTCTGCTCGGTTTATCAGCTCGGTGTGACAATCGCGCGGCTTCTCCTGCGATTTTTTCATATCTTTGCCCGTTCCATTCGCGATAACCACATCAAATTCCTCTTTGCGTATCGATACGCGTTTTCACGCGTTCGTTCAACTTTTCTTCGTTAGAGATAATCCTTTCGTCGTATCTCTCAACGCGTTCATTTTTCAATCTCTATTCCGATGGAAAATCGTTTGTAACATAACTGTACATTTCTCCCAAAAGCATGTGCACACCGACTTTTGTAAATAAATAGTCGAAATTAGCTGATTCGAGTTGACTGGAAAATGACAAAGGAACAGAAGAGGAATAGTACAGATCGTCGTAGTACTAGCACGTCGAACGTTGTTTGCAGCCATGCTCTCTTCTCTCTCTCTCTCTCTCTCTCTCTCTCTCCTCTCTCCCTCTCTTTCTCTCTCTCTCTCTCTCTCTCTCTCTCTCTCTGTGTCTCTCTCCTACGGAATAGTCCACGACGATTGATCAAAACGCGTTGGATCGAGCGTATGATATACGGTACATACACGCATAGATAGATTGCGAAAGGATTGCAAAGGATTTCGTTGTGGTTTGTAAAAGGACGATCGGCGTTCTCGTATACTCGTATATATATATATATATGTGTGTATATATATATACCCTGCTGCTGGAAACGAGGGGAGGTCCCCTGTTCTCTGTTCGGTCAGTCGATTCGAATTCTCTGCCTCTACGACCCACTCTGCACACGAAACATACACAAAATAACGTAATCGCGCGAATAGTTTGATTTGTGTAAGCGAACGATCGAACCCAGCACCAGCCGCGAGATTAAAGCACGTCTGCGCGTACTTTTCGGTTTCAATCGATCGATCGGTATTTATTGACGAGACGAACGCGTTTCTTTTTCAGAATGGAACACCTGTTTGGCCTGCTCGAAATCGTACAAATGGAGGAAGTCTTTGCATCGACACGTGCGGGAGAACCCGGAATGTTGGCCCGTCCTCCTAACCTCAGGAAACGAGGAATTCATCCGACAGATTCACTACAAAATGCTCTACAACGTTAACAATTGATTCGCCTCGTTCGATCCCGTGCAACCTGTTCACTGATATTTGCGATACTTGCGATATTTGCGACACTTGCGAAACGACAAAGTCGAGGCAGTCGCGTGCACCGTTCTTGCGCGTGATCTTTCTTGTTATTTCGGATATCTTTTTATAGAAATAAATGTTGCATTATATTCTGATACAAAATGCGTTACACGATTACGTTACGATTATATCGACGCGTCTGTGCTCTTTTCAGCAGTGGAACGTTTCAACGTTGAACGACGTCGGTACACGGTGGTTTCTCCACACGATTTTCCATTCTGTTTTTTCAGATCGTCGCAGTCTCACTGCGAGATGCGGTGTGTCTCGTTCGTTTCAACTAGTCGCGCATCTACTCCGAATAATCCTCGTCTCTCTTCCATTTGCCACCCGAACCGATATTCCGCTTGGCGCGATAGTTGCTCCACGTTTTCGTATTTTTCGCGCGTTAAACGGTCTCACCTTCTTTTACCCAATTATCTTTCTTCTTTTTCTCTTTTTCTCTCTTTCTCTCTTTCTCTCTTTCTCTCTTTCTCTCTTTCTCTTTTTCTCCCCCAGCCCCCACACTCCCTGGTTGTGCTCTTTGATTTTTCCACCATCTCCCGTATATGATAAAGTCGAAAACATTTTTTTACTCGATGTCGTCGTACACCGCGGATATATAATCTGGCTGACGCAATGATTTTTCACAGATTTCCGGCTGCATCGTTCGCCTAGGACAACGAATAAGCCGCGAAGGATGTATCCTTGCGGAAAATGCCAGAAGGTCTATTCGAACGCCTCTTCTCTGTACCGGCACTTGAAACTCGAATGCGGCATGCTTCCACAATTCCACTGTCCCTACTGTCGCTTCAGCTCAAAGAGGAAATTCAATTTGGACTCTCACGTGGCACACAAGCATAGCAAATTGCTCAACTGTTATGTAAATAAATAGGCTAGAATCGCGTGGTCTACTACTTTCCCCGACGAGACTGCGTTCACTGGACGCTGGTTCTCCACGATAAGATAATAACGAATTCGCACGTACAAAGATGTTGTGTAGAAGCCGATACGAATAAAAGGTATTCGTGTCTCTTCCTGACTATAATCGTTCCTTATAATTCCAGAATTATAAGAATAAAGCGCATGGGTAATGCGTTTCTTACAATTGTCTAATTATTTATTTCGTACGTTGTTGGCTTCTCTTCTTTTCTCTTCCTTTTCTTTTTCTCTCTTTTTCTTTCTTCTTTCTTCTTCTTTTTCTTTCTTTTTCTTTTTCTTTTTCTTTTTCTGTTTTTTTTTTTTTTTTTTTTTTTTTTTTTTTTTTTTTTATTTTTTTTTTTTTTTTTTTTTTTTTTTTTTTTTTTTTTTTTTTTTT